GTCTACTCGCACACACATGCCTGCACGCATATACACATGCAAACACGCGCGCACACTCACCCACGCAAACACACGCACGCGCACACATTACCCACGCATTCAAACACACGCCCGTACATACCCACGCATACACACATCCCCCCTCTCTCGCTCTCGCTCTCTCTCTCGCTCTATCTCTCTCTTTGTTAATCTATGTATATATCAATCCGTCTTATTGCCTCTTTCTTTTCACTCAACAGCAGACAGCGACATTCTGTGGATCTTGGGAGAACAAACGCGCATGCATGCTTTTTTGCGCCACTCTTGCATTTCATTATATTTGTTTAATGCACATATTGGCTTCGCCTATTGATTTGCCCGTGCGTTTTCTGGACTATTGACATCGCAGCATCATTTATAAGATATGGCAACAGCAGCGAGAAGCGTCCGACACGACAATCTTATACGCACCAAATAGCGAGTTGTGCCGCGAACGAAATTCGCATTTTAATAATTGAATCGTATCACAAGTTCTCGACGCGACAGTTTGGAAGCATATTTCGCCGCCACGTACATTCAACAGCATGCACGAACAGACGCGCGCTGGTTCCCATGGCGCCGGTTATGCGCAAAACGCGGGTAGCAGCGGCGCAGGGTTTGCCGGAAAAAATCCCCTCGACGACGCCTCATATCGAGGAACGGGAGGTGGAGGCGAGGTTTCTCCCGGGGGAAGCATGGAAGGAGAAGGCTATAGGTGTGTGGGTGGTATGGCAGGTCTGTCTACGTGGATCCCGCAAACAGGCCGCTTCGCAGCTCTAGATTATTACATTTCGAAGAGTCGTCAAGAAGTTTTCAACTACTTCTCATGTCCACGCAGAGCTCGATCGTCTAACCTTACCACCACGGAACTTGCAGCGATCCGATCCCTTCGGAATCGTCAGGACATCGTAATTAAACCCGCTGATAAAGGGGGAGCCGTTGTTGTATGGAGCCGAGATCTCTCACATCTCTCCACACACACTCACTCACCGGATATCGCTATGCTCGCGTCTGCCGTCAGCTTCACGCATGTCACGTGATCGCGGTGGCCGTGCAGCAGCAGCCGCGCGCTGCCCGTCTGCAGGTTCCAGATGATGAGCGTGTTGTCATGGGAGCCGGAGATAACGAACTGGTAGTGGTTGGCGATGGCCACACAGCTCACCGTGCCCTCGTGGCCCACGAGAACCTGCGGGAGGTAGAAGCAACGAGTGAGAGATTGTTACGCTACGGTTATCCTAGTAACAAAAATTACATGTTGCATATGTTATATATATTATATATTTTTTTATGTAGCTATTATATTATTATTTTTATGTAAGATTTATATTATATGTTCTTTATTTATATATTTTATTATTCATATTATTTTTATGTTTCATTGTTTATATGTTTTATATTACGTATACATATCACACGTTGTGTGTATGTTTTTATAAGGACAATTAAGACAAGTGCTGGCTATGGTTAATTCAGACTTTTAAACCAGAACGGAATACGTGGCCAACGAAAACCTGCGGGAGGCATGCCACTTGTGAGAGATTGTTACATAACGTTGTCATTATAAGTGAGATCGGAAAGTCCAGCTGTGCTATTTAGGTCCCAGAAAAAGATGGTATAAAATAGCCGAGGCGCGCTTAGGAAAGTAAAGGATTAGTGTAAACACTCGTGCGTTTTTAGTTTTTGCATTAACACAAACATTGCAAAATATCCCAAACGACCACAATCATATTTGTAAATGGTTATGTGAACAGAAACGCACCGGTGAATTGAAGTATGATGTTAGTGAAAAGAATTATAAATCAAAAACCTAGAATAGTCTTATCCTATCCATGTTACAAAAGGGCTGTTTATACCCCATCTTATCTTATCTGATCTCAATATGGCGGAGGGGACTTTCCTATATGGCTTATAGTATAAATTACATGTGACATACATTATAATATGATTTATATATGTCATGTATGTTAAGTTGATGCTTTATTTGTTACATTACGGCAATTTTCGTTATAATAGAAATTACGTGTTACATACGTTATATTATAATTGTGTTGTTTTTATCTATATATGTTATGCATGTTAGGTCGATGCTCGAGTGTTTGTTACATTGTGGTGATTTTCATTATAATACATATTACATATCACATACGTTATATGATGATTATGTTGTTTATTTATGTTATGTATGTTTTTTTTATTCTTGGTTTTATGTTTTGTATTTTTTACATTGAAAATTACATATCATACGTTTTTATGATTTACATTTTTTAATTAGAGAAATTAAGACGAGTGTTGGCTACGGTTAAATAAGAATTTTAACACCACTTCGAAATGTCATGCGACTGCTGCACTAAGGGGAAAACACCATGCGTTCTTATAGACGCAGGTTTGACTATATCAAGCGTGTATAATATATATTTTACATATTCTATATCATATTATCAGGGTTTAATAATGACATCATCATGGCATTTGACAATGATGACATTTGTCATTATTAACCCCTGATATTCTATATATATATAATATTATTTAATATACATATATAGAAGATGAAAGCGCTTGTGTAAAACTAAATGGCTCGCTCAACCTCTCTCTCTCTCTCTTTCTCTCTCTCTCTCTCTCTCTCTCTCTTTCTCTTTCTCTCCACCTCTCTCTATCTCTCTCACACTATATATATATAATATTATACCTCTCTCTCTCTCTCTACCCCTCTTTTTCTCTTCCTCTCTTGCTCGCTTACTGTCGCTCTCTCCCTTTCTCTACCCGGGAACCACGTCGATAAAGCTGTACGTATGCGCAGTCAGTGACCAACGTGAAATTTCTCCGAGTATAACGTTTCGAGAATCGGTCTGCGGCCATGCAATCGAATCCGTCCATCCGACGATGGGGCCGCTATTCGGTTCATCGGATCCGACGCAGCAGCTCCGAGCAGGCAGGCGGAAAACGCTTGCTTCTCTGACTTTCTACAGCAGACGAGCTTTATACATACTCCCGCGTTCATGCGAAGTCGACGTCCGAACAAAGAGAGGACTTATTATTGTGACTATCAACATCTGTCCGTAACGATGGTGACGAGGATGATGATGGAGATGATGGAGATGATTATGGTAATGATTGTGTTTGTGTTCATGATCACGATAACAATTAACAATGATTATTTATATTATTATTGTTGGCAAATCAATAAATCAATAAATCAATAAATATCATAATAATATTAAAACGCGTAGTGATAAAAAACGGCAAAGTAGAATTATAAACGCGGACACACGCACGCGACCACGTACGTACGCACGCATGCATGTTTAGATGCGGTGCGTGTCTTTGCTAGTGAAACAAGCGTGTGTGGCGTTACGTGCAATCATGGCCTAATAGCGTGTTGGACTCTCGCTGGCCGCAGGCGTGACCGCCCACAGCTATACGACCGTCCTAATGCCTGCTCTCTCCTCCCCCCCTCTCTCTCTCTCTCTCTCTCTCGCTCTCTCTCTCTCTCGGGACGCAGCTGGGATTCAGCGATCCGCTAGCATCAAGAGCACGATTAGCGGTGCATCGCAGAGGGGCACGCGCGCCGTCTAAGTGGCCGTCAAAGATTGCTGCTGCGGCTGCTGCGGCTGCTGCGGCTGCTGCGGCTGCAGCGGCCGTTAATGGCAGAGCATGCTGCGGTCGCGTGGTGGCCTGGTCAAGCCGTGCCCGCTAATCGCTAGGTCTGGCCGCTGCCGCCCCCGAGTTATGGCCACAGTGTCAGGCAAGACCTCACGTCACATTACCGTACGTGTTTCACTGTTTCTCCTGTAATATTCCATGTCAGTACAGGACATGCTGCCTTGTTTTCCTGTAATATTCCATGTCAGTACAGGACATGCTTTGCCTGCTTACAAATATCATCTTATATTTGCATCAATCACCCGCGTACACGAAGTCTGTTTCCACCCATCTCATCCCAGCGCGCCCGCCTACACATCATGGCAGAAATTCTTTTCTGCCTATCGCCATTGCAAAATCGTCTGGCTTTTTTCAGTGTCGACGTCAAGTGATCACGTGTTGTTGCGTCACGTAAGTACGCGTTGTTGCGTCACGTAACCACGCGTTGTTGCGTCACGTAACCACGCGTTGTTGCGTCACGTACCGTCGCGTTGTTGCCTCACGTGATCACGCGTTGTTGCGTCACGTAACCACGCGTAGTTGCGTCACGTAACCACGCGTAGCCGCGTTACGTGGTTGCCCGTGTGTTGCGCCAGCGTCCGTAGATGAGAGAGTGAAACTCACGGCAAGATTATCACACGAGCAGCATAAGTATTAAGCACGCAGACGCGCGCCCCGCACGCTACAGGGAAAACATACCGCCATGTTTGCTCCACAGACTCAGCGTGCGCACCCCCCACCACCCCATTCTAATATTTTAATTAAAGCGATAAATAATTGTGCTTTATCTCTCGCTCGCCGCCCGGCGCTCGGGCCGCTGCGGCGGCAAAGCGAGTGTGATTACCCCCCGCTCGATCATTCGCCGTCATTGTTATCTCGTGACGTCACCAAGTCGGACGACTGATGTGGATGGGGGCGGCCGGCACACTACCGAGCGTGCGTGAGTGTGCAATTAACCAGGCCAGGTGTGTGTATTTTTTCCGTCGCAAAAAGAAGTCTTCGTAACATTTGTGTGTTTTATTTCGCCTTGATGTTTTTTTTCGCTCGGCCTCGCTGCTGATTGCCTCGCTGGGAGTCTACGGGGTGAGACAATGGCGCGGAAATCTCGCGAGCTTCATCAAACGTTTTCGTGTTGAATAATAGATGGCGCTGCGGTGGGTCCGCTGTCCGACGCACGGCATGTATCGTGACGGGCGGGGAGGAGGGGAGGGGGAGGTTCTCTCTCTCTCTCTCTCTCTCGTCGGGCAGACAGATGGGCAGGCTGCCTCCAACGGCCGACACAAAATCACTACTAATATATTCTCCATTAAGCGCGACATAAGTTCATTACGGACTTATGCTTGTGCGCACTTAAATAATGTCAATGACTTGGCCAGCTCCCGCGAGCCGCATTTGCGCGCTGGCAGCAGACTGTGAAAGGTCAGTCAGTCCGCCACACACGGCCATCCATACAGGCACGCCAATTGATGTGAGTGAGGCGAGCGGGTGGTGGCGGCGGAGTGCAGACCGCTATCGATAGATCGATGAGGTCGAACGATGACGGCATCGAGAGATGAGTGGGTGAGGGAGCGAGAAAAGAGAGAGAGAGAGAGAGAGCGAGAGTGAGACGGAAAGGAGAGAGAGAGAGACAGCGAGAAAGAGCGAGAGAGAGTGAGAGAGAGAGAGAGAGAGAGAGAGAGAGACGTGAGAGTGATGTCTTGAGATGATGATTATGATGATGACAATGACGATGATGATGATGATAAGAAGCGCAGCGTTGTTTCTGCGCATGCGCAGCTGTTCATTCTGATCTTATAGCATCAGGGAAATCCTGATTGATAACCGTCCGATCTCCGTGAGTGGCCGAGCACACCTAACAACCTATAGGTTTCTCTAGAGCACAGCGAAATCGTATATTCTGCGCAAAAAGTCAGGTATAGCGCACGCTAGCTGCGCCATTACATGAGTGTAGTGTGGGGTGGGGTAGGGTTCGCAGAGTACGAGCGATAGGTACTTTTAGTTAAAATTTCAGTGTGAAATGAAAATGGTATTAGCAGAACGTTTTATCAGGTTATGTAGCGCGCCGGGGGGATCTGTGTGAATGAACCATGTGTGTTTTCATATATTAAGTTTATTATGACTGTAGTTGGGCTAATACGGTTACGGTAGGAGGTGGGTGGAAATGGTGGAGAATGAGGGAGGGTAAGGGGAGCCCGAGGGAAGCGTGTGGAAAGCGCATGAAATAGATGGGGTGCAACGACGATTCCGTGGATGTCGTGAATAATTTGAGTCTTGGTTTTTCGGCCGTCAGCCACAAAGACGAGATCTTGATCGTTTTCGCCCTGCTGATAGAGATGTGATAGCTCATGCATCTAGGGCACTGTGGCAATGAGCAGTGCTATACAGAAAAATGAGAGAGACATGGGGTAGAGTCAGAGAGAGATGAAGAAAGAGAGAGTGGAAGAAATAAAGGGGCAAAAAGTGGTCGAGAGAGAGAGAGAGAGAGAGAGAGAGAGAGAAAACGAGAGATTGCGACAACGACAAAGAAAGCGCGAGAGAGTGAGTGAGCAAGAGAGAGAGGGTGATAGCGAGAATAAGAGAGAAAGAGAGAGAGAGAGAGAGAGAGAGAGAGAGACAGAAGTGAGAGAGAAAGCGTGAGCGAGAGAGAGAAAGCGAGAGAGGGAGCGCGCGAGCGAGAGAGATAGAGAGAGAGATAGAGAGCGAGAGAGAAAGAGAGAGAGAGGAAGGCGTGCAGATCGCAAGCACCGATATTTCTCTATGCAAATGCAAGTCGGTTTTCAAGGAAATTACTTTCCTTGGGCTTCACTTCGTAATTATTGGCCAACTATGGAGACTGCTAGCCATGGAGATAGAGGAAGAAAAAAAGCGGAAAGCTGGGCGTGATAGAGCGAAGGTAGAAGAGATAGATGGGAAGGCGTAGACGGGGAGAGAGAAAGAGTCAACGCGAAAGGCTAGGAGAAGGGGGAGAGCAACGGCAGCAAAGAAGGGAGATAGAGGCAGAGAGAAAAAGAGGGGGAGCGCGAGCGAGATTGTAGAAATGTTGATAAAAGATAAAAGAGTGTGAAGAAGGTTTAGAGGTTTATATGAAAAGCCTTCGGGTCGTATAGCACTTCATACAGCAGTAGCAGCAGCGACTGCAGTAGTCTCGGCAACAGCAGTAGCAGCAGCAGTAGCAGCAGTAGCAGTAACCAGCAGCCAGCAGCAGCGGCAGCAGCAGCAGCAGCAGCAGTAGCAGCAACCAGCAGCCAGCAGCAGCAACAGCAACAGCAGCAGCAACAGCAACAGCAGCATCAGCAGTAGCAGCAGCAGCAGCAGTAGCAGAAGTAGTAGTAGCAGCAGAAGTAGTAGTAGTAGCAGCAGCAGCAGTAGTAGTAGTAGTAGTAGTAGTAGTAGTAGTAGTAGTAGTAGTAGTAGTAGTAGTAGTAGTAGTAGTAGTAGTAGTAGTATCAGCAGCAGCAGCAGCAGCAGTAGCAGAACTAACGAACTCAGAGCGTTGGAGAGTCGCAGGTTTGTTGCGACAAACGTACAAATGTAATTACGGCCAGCATAGACGTAGTCTTTAGGTAGCTAATCACATCATAGTAATGGGCCCACGGCGTTTTAATAGCGAATATATATATATATATAATGTGTATATGTAAAATTATGCGCTAATATTACATATTCAATAAACGTACGGATGCACACTGCGTTAGTGTTATAAATCTCCTGTGGGCCCTCCTCCTTTTCCTCTCACTTCACCTCCTCCTCCTTCATCTCGTCTCTTTCTCCTACGTGTTACGTGTGTGTAGATGTGTGTGTGTGTGTGTGTGTGTGTGTGTGTGTGTGTGTGTGTGTGTG